TTTATTTTGTGACCCAGAAAGAATAATAAGAGTGATATTAAAACGAACTAGATGCCACCATTGTTGGAAACTGAGCAGGAATTCCGGGATAGGTCGGGCCACGAAGTATACACCCGACCCATCCTTCAAATCTGGGGAAATGAAGGGTGCATTTGTCGGCCGCATTTGTCAGAGTCTTCGAATTTGGACAGTCTTTGTCGTGTCGCTGTAACGTAATCGGCCTACAAATGCGGGCACAGGGGGATACGGGTCCTGAATTTGGACACAGCTACGATACCGGACACAGCTTCTTCTTCTTTGGGGATTTAACGGCAGCTGGCATCCTTGTACATGCAGTGCTGTCATCTTCTGTTTCAGTCCGTTATTACACTCTTAAATCCTACTTATTCCTACGTCTTTTGGGATCTTACAAAGCTTCAAACGACGTGTCGACTATTAAATTAGTCGTCGACGATTTTGATAGTCAACGTAGTTGTGACTAGTCGACTAATCGTGGCAGCCCAACTCCAACTTTACATTTGATTCAATTGATTCATTTTTATTTTATATAAAATTGAATTGAAGTCAGTTTCCTAACTTAAGGAATACTATAGCTGTAATGTTGCAAACGATTGAAGCAACTACCAATTAAAGTGAAGTATGCTGCTGACCGACATATGACATGGTAGCAGACATGTTAGATAGATAGATAGAACCAGAGCCTAGAACACCAAGGAGCGACCAACCATCGGCAACAAAGTGTTGTGTGACGAGAAATCCGCTTTCTTTCCATGTTTCACCACAGAAACATGTTCTGTACTGACCCTATGGTGTCATGCTGTACATGCTTGGCATCCAGGCTTGAGTAAAGGTCCACTACAGGCTCAAACGCTCCCAGTCGACAGTACAGGAGCAGTAACAGCAGCTTGAACTGGGCGTTGGAAGGACTGTGAGATAGTCCCTCCTGGAGGAGACCCAAACACTGCCACATCATGTCCTCATCTCCTACAGGCATACAGATACACACATTTAGACACATCACATTACTGAGAGACAGGAAGTTCTGCACTGAAAAAGAAAAACTCACCAGTCTCTGTCCATAAGTCAATGTATACATGAGCGACCATGAGACAATACATATCAGAAAACTGCAGCTCCGTCTTTAGAGTGTTCTTTCCTGTTGAACAGAGAGACCAAGAAGTCAGAACAAACAAAAACATGCACAAGGAACACAACAAAAATCTTTAAAAGTGTTCAGTTCTTGTACAGTAAAGTCACCCTACCCTACAATTCTTAGAATGTTGACTGCAAACGTCCAACAAAGTCTCCTTTATATCTTAAAAAACATGCCAAATATGACCAAGAAAAGTATGCTTGTCTGTAAAAATGAAAATGAAAAAATGAAGCCAATACCCAAGTGGTACACGTTGTATATGAAAGACAGACAAAGCCACCGTGATGTCACCTACCGGTTAGTGAAGACCTACTATCTGAAACTTCAAGCTGAGCATTTTTACCTTCACCTTATTAGCTAACCGTAAACTGAGGGACACTATCTGCTCATTGGCTAACAGCTTATCAATCATAGCAAAGCATACCCTGTGTTTATCGTCCCTTTTTATTCAAATTGGGACCATAACTTACAAAATGGCCTTTAGTTTGTACTCAATATTGGTCACTGAGACCACAAAGTCATTAGGCAATTGTTGCATACGTGTCTATATATTTGGATGTCTTATTGCAAACATCACAGGAGCTCCCTCTTGCTAATTAGAAAGAATACATGTTTGCTTTGGCTATTAGATGGACTGTTAGCAGTCCATCTAATAGCCACTTTGGGTTGGCTTAAAAAGAAAAAAACCAAACCAAAACAAAAAAACCCAACATCTTAAAATGTCTCATTTTAGTAAAGTAATACAGATAATTAGCAGATGCACCTGTGGTATCAATTTGAAACTCCTGAAGCTCGTTTCATTCTCAAGTTACTGCATTCATAAACTTAAATGTCCACATTGCCCGCCCACCTTGGCCTTTTACGGCTGTGGAGTAACAAAACATGACAGCAGCTTAAAAAAAAACAAACAAACAAAAAAACCCAAACATCTGACACTTAAAAATTTTAAGTCCGTAAACCAATAGATGACATAACGTTACCAATGTCTTTATATTTTACAGTCTATGTCATGCATAACTGCAGTTTTATAACTTTATTGAACACACAAAAATGTATGAAAGCACTTTTTTATTCCTGGGATTTCTGAGAAAGAAGCCCTATTAGTAATCAACTATCGGCATGTTCAACTGGACGCTGCTGTTATCAGAAGAAATGTGCCAGCAAACAAGGAAGGCATTCACACTTTGCTGTTGACAACATCACATATCTGTCTGGCTCCACGACAAGATTTCACACCTCTTGGCTGTGGAAAATCTGATGATCCTGAAGGAATGTCAATCTTATGGGTCTAAGAGTGAATAAAAATGTTGCTCTCACCAAACTTAAGCCCATGATGATAGTGAGCCTTAAGCTCTGTGATAAGATGAAGTTTGCCATCCACGTCGAGGGAATGATGCAGCCCTAGTGCGCGGCTCAGCTGACACACACACAAATGCCTCTGCAGCGCTTTGGTGTCCTCTGGAAAAGCAAATCCTTCCTCTTCCTGGTTGCCCAGTGGAACTGCCTCACTAAGATGATTAATGAACTAAAAAGAATTCAAAGACAGAAATGTGTTTCACGACCACGCTTTTCATTCTGCAAGAGGCAGTTCCACAGTTCTGCTTTAACTTTCTCTCACCTGAACGTGCTGCTCAGGAGACAGCAGGTGTAGGTATATTTTTAGGTCAGTGATGCAGCAGGGCTTGTCTCCAAACTTGTTGAAGAATTGCACCATTAACTCTAAAGGCTCACCTATTTATGGCCAACCAACAGACTGTCAGACTGAGGCAACAGGACATACATAAATACATGCTTATTCAGTATATGTGTGTGTATGTGTTTTACCTAGCAGGCTTTCCTCAGGACAGCCTCTTTCTCTCAGTCTGTGCATTAATTCAAGACGAGCCAAGTAAGGCCCTCTGAGTGAGCGGGACTCTTTGCTGTCCTCCCCCTTAATCCTCTCCTCCACGAACCTCACCACCTCAACCACAGTGTGATGTACTGAACCCTCTGAACAGCTACAGGATGGACAGAAAAAAACAACTTCAGAGTGGACAAGATATAATATTATGAGAAATAAGAGATAAATTGGACATATATAATATTATATAATGTGTAATTTGTAAAAAAAATATCCTCTATGAAGTTTGGAGAACAGCACAGCAGACGGTCATAGACACAAGGGGTTCCACATCTTGTTTGTCTTGCTGAAGGATGTGTGTATTTTTTAAATTAATAATTCATTTAATAATTGGCTTGGCTTTCAGCAACTAGTAGGGATTTTTAAGGTTAAATAGGAGGAATACCTTAGTGAAGGGACTTTTAACCACAAGGTTGGGCGATTGGACGAATATATCGACGATAGGCTCAGCTTTCCGTTGATCGTTTTTACAAGAGTGATTTATTTATTTATTTATTTGCACATGGGTAAGTTTGCTGATAATGTTGGTTGAAGCTAAGAGAAGCAGCTGCGAACAGATGCACCCTCCTCAGAGTGCACTCAAATGCAGCGATTCATTTACTCCAGCTCACAACAGACAGAAAGAAAGGCAGTAGCCTATGTTCAGAAAAACACAAAAATATTTTATTTAAATAAAAAAAACACAATGGTGGGGAGGGGATCAAAGAGAAACTGGCTTCTTTTTTCCACGATAACAGTGTTTACAGGCTGTTCCAGTGTTTATCTGTCTTACACACTCGATCAAACAACAAAAATTAAAAAGTTAAAAATCAAAATGTCTCTTTCATAACATAAAAAAAACAAAAAACAACCTCCAACGTAATGTTAAGTCTTTTGTGCGATTTGGCGCATCTCAAATATATAAATGAACAATCCAAAAAGTAGCTATATTAATACTGAAACAAACAAGAAAAGAAAGTAAATTATTAAATATTAAATTAAATATTCCTTCCAAACCAGACTTACAAGTTCTAAACGCGCAAATCAGTCCGTGCATGATTATACTGCTCCTCCCATCAAAAAGTCAGCGCATGCGCAAATATATTCCGTCCAATAATCGTTGGTTATTGGACTGACGATTTTTGGTTGGAAAACCGAATTGCCCAACCTTATTTAACCATCATGTGTGGGTTTTGTTAAAGTAAGGGAACAGATGCAGAGTTCACACAGATGGAAATCTTTATGCATTCAAACTCAAACACCTGTGTACTCACTGTTCGCCTTCTTCTGGCGGGCTCCACGACTGATCCACCAAGTGAAAGAGAGAGTCAAAGTAAGCCGGGTAGAACTGCCAATCATCAGGACTGCAAAGAAACACATTTTTTTGGTTGTTGTTGTTGGCTGATATCTGTACTCCATCAGAAGTGATGTGCATCGACTGATGTCATGTTCTGATCAGTTATTGGTCTTGGACAGCTTGTGCACTGTTAAGATAAAAGCTCACTCACTTTTTAAGCAGCAGTTTGTGGGCCAAAGCGTTGCACTCTGGCCAGCGTTGCAGTCGCTTGTACAGCATCATACATTTGTTTTCTCTGCTCTGCAGCTCACTGGTCAGCTTCTCTGTGCAAAAATACAAGTATTAGCTGAAGAAGAATTTCAGAATGCACAGCATCAGATTTATAAGCCATGCGTGCCACATTACTTCAAACTATCCCTGTTATTTTATTGAGAATGCTGTTTAACACTTTATGTACTCACTACAGCTTACTTTAGATATAAATAACTTTTACTTCTTCCTGCCAAACATGACTGATACTATTTCAAAGTGTTAATGTCACATGGTCAATTTAAGAAAGTGTGTGTGTTTGTGAGTGTGTGTGGGGATCTACCTACCCCCAAGTGGGCCCCGGATCACTTCAAGGGCCTCTACACATTTCCCCAAGCGTTCTAGGATCATAAAATACAGTTGCACCTACAGAACACAAAAGTTAAAGTGAAAAAGTAAGGACTGTGCAATATTCTAACATTTGTATTTTCATCTTAAACATGTGTAATGAGCAGTTAACACTAAAGTGCAGAATTCAGGGGGTTTTTTTCTGGCAACTAATATGCCATGGGTTTCATTCACTAAAAGTCTTTTTAATGCCAACATGACTACTGTAACTTAAAATATAAGACTCTCTCAACTGTTAATGAAAATCCAAAGGAAATTCTGAATTTTAAAAAACAAGTTGAGTAACTGGGATTTTGCCAGAATCCTGCTGTCCATTTAAGTTGGTTTCCCATTGTCATAACACTGAAGTCATAAAGCCAACATACTCACCTCTGCTTCTGCTTCAATCTTTTCCTCCTTGACCATTTTTTCCACCATGCGTTCAGCCAGAGGCAGGAACATGGTCTGAGCCAACTTTTCATCTTGGGCTGAGATTGCCTTAGAAACAAGCACACAGTACTTATACTGTCTGTCACCAATCATTCTAATATTTCAGCACTCATGTTATAAAAGCTTTCCTGTACCTGCATCACAAGACTCATGACCGACCAAAAGTAATAGGGATTCTTCGGGACAATTTTATACAAGGCCATTCCTGCCTGTAAATAGGAGGATGTAGCCATTAATACATTAATTCTGCTTCTAAATCAATTGAATTCATTTTCAGGGGAGCCCATAAACCTGCTTGTTGCTCATATGTGCTCTTTTTGAGCTGTCTCACCTGCTGCATCTTTTTGTATTCTCCCACACGAGCGTACGCCATGAAGAGGTGAGAGTGATACTCCTCGCTTAGAGGAACCTTCTTCACTGCAGCCTCATACAGCTTGGTGACCAACTCAGCTGTGGACAACACACACATATTCAATATTCAGTCATCCAATGTTAATACCAGCTTTCATGTGTGCGCATATATACTCACGACGATGCATCTCTCTGTACAGTATAGTCAGAGCCTGAAGCGAGTTGTCATCAGTGGGCTCGAGAGTGGCCACTTCCTGGGCTAAAGTGAAAGCTTCATCCTGCTTTCCAGTCCTCTGAAGGCCAATCGCCTTCAGGACCTGGAGGAAGCAGAAAAGACTGAGTTATAAAACTGAATGAGAAGGAAAAGGCAAAAAAAAAGAAAAAGATAAACATTACAGATTTCATTGGCACGAATAAAATGGCAAGCCATTGCAGAGGTTTTCAGTTAGAGCTAGAAGCACAATGGCAACCCAAACAAAGGTTTTCAACAAGACAGTTCCAAAGACAAGGATGCACAAAGAACCGAAAACCTTCTGATGTCAAAAACATTTTAATAAACAAATTAAATTTCTGCTGTCTTGATCATTTTAGAGCTCCACCTGTAACACTGCAGCAGTGGCCCACCTGTAGTTCAGTGTACAGTGTGCCTTAAGCATGAATTTACAGTATTGCAATGATACTCTGCCACTTTGGCTGATGATTGGCTGATTGCTTGCAGTCGGGGAATGGCCCATCTGACTGCAGAGAGCTCTTTCATTGATGGAGGCAGGGTAATATAAGTGATTGTGATACAGCTTCAACTCCAGGATGAAACCTGGAAATTCTCCCAGCTTCTGGCTTCACTTGGGAATTGGATCAACCCAGAATGAGACTCTTCCTTTTCTTTTTTAAGAAACATCAGGACCTTCTCATGATTGCCTGATGCTGACTTCATTTTTTTTTTTCCACGGTGAGTTTTCAACTAAAAAGCAAAGCGTTTAGTGTTTATATATGTTATCTGAATTTCCTGTTGTTTTTTTGCAGCGGTGTGAAATGGCTTTAACTGTTACATTGCTACAGGCTGCAAAAAAATAGCGAATGCCAACATCTTTATGCTTTTGTTGTTTTAGAAAATAATTTTGAGATGAGACTGTGATTATGACTTGATACCATTGTCACACCTTGGACATACAGAAGTCGTTTGATCATATAAAAAACACACACACACACACACACACACACACACACGAGCTCTGGAGAAAAACAATGCTGAGGGACAACAATGTGGAAACTTGATGGGCTGACCCAACACACAAATACTGGATGTGTGTTACTGTGTGTCCAAGCGGACTTCAAAAAGAATATAACAAGAATAAAAGCTCGGCCGTCGGGTCTCCTGCCTTCTGTGTAACCAACAGAGTATTACTGAGGAGTTAGAACCAACAGAGTCTCGTGGACTAAGGATGTAGACTTGCTACATCCTTAGCAATCTTATTTTTATTGAATGAGCCACATTGCTCCTATTGGCTGCCTTTCTCTGTCACTCACAGACCTCTTGCTGAAAGGGGCGAGTGCAGTAGCATTTAAAGCTACAGAAAAATCAAAGGATTGATTTTAAGTGTGCCATATTTTCCAAACAACACGGTAATAACGACGGCCCGCTAGCATGCTCTACCAAAAATAGTGCTTTGTTGTGTATCTGACGGACGAAAGCTAAACCAGTTCCACACCACTGAAGTTGCAACATTTTTACAAACCAATTCTGGTTCATCCATTTCATTTAACGATCCGCTTTCGCTCTTCTCATTCTGCGTCACCGCCATGTGCGTACGTAAACATAGGCACTGCGCATGCGCGTTTTACCCATATTCTATCGCGATATTTCATTTTCCTATCGTTCACCGGTATTACCGTGAACGGTATGATATAGCCCAGCCCTAGTATTTAGTGCTGAAACTTGTAATATACATTCTGGGAACAGGGAATAACAATAACACATATCCCGAAGTCTTAAGATATGGGACCTTAACTTTAAAAACAAGATGGGAGAAAAAGTAACAAGAAACAATATAAATTTGGCCAACGGTAGAGATTTTGACTATACCGCTCTATCGCGAGTTGATGACGCATGGTGTTGATGACGTCATCAAGCTGCGCCTGTTTTGGTTGAAAGCATTGCAGCAGCTGCAAACAACATCATCTGCAAATTATGCCAGGCGACAGTAATGGCAAAGAGTCGAAGCACTTTTGGAATATGGGGAAAGCCAAAAACTGCGCTTCCTCCACTTCCGTACCATTAATTCATTAATGCTGAATTCTCTCGCAGCTGCAGCAGTTGTTGCAGTATATTAATGACTAACCTCATATTGTGGATGGATTATCTCAGTTGTTCTCCTAACTGAAGTTTGGTCCGTTTATAGCATCCTACCATGCAATTGCATTTGTCCCTAACCACCAGAAACCCTCACGTTAACTTTTATCGAGTAGAAAAAAGTTTGCGTTCATCCTTCAGCTTCACTGTGCTAATGTTATGCTAACGTAGCTGTTTTGCTAGCGATCAAGTAGCACATCATTATATACGAGCTAGTCCCTAGTAACCCTACAAATGTCACTGCTGTTTAGTTTTCTGTCTTCATTTATGTTGGAAGTGACAGCAGAGCTGTACGTTTTAAGTTTTTCAGAAAACTCAGTCAGAACATGCTATATCATGTTTAGGTGGAAACTAGCGAGCTAACTTCCTGCTAACTTCTAACTCCGTTGAATTTCATAAATTCTGTTTTCATGGATGTCTGGATGTTAAACTTAATTGTTACACCTGGTAAAGCAGCAACACTGATCATTTTATTAAAGATAAAAAAATTTAGACTGTTGTTAACTGTCAGTGATGCCGCAGTGTTCGTTTGACTTTGGGACCTGAAGCTGACAGAGTTTTGGACCCAGATTACTCCGCAAGGCCCTCGAGTACAGCAGCCGTAATGCTCCGACAATCCATCAAGCGGTGCGCCTTCATAGCTTACTAAAGTCGTACTAAAGACAGATTTCTGCGCACACTGTCGATTTTTGAGAAAATTAAAGGATTTTAAGTGTGCCTTATAGTGTGTAAAATACATTCTACAGAAGAAAAGAAATATATCGCGATATATATCGTTACCGCACATGCTTCAAATTATACCGTGATATGGATAGTAGACCATATCGCCCAGCCCTAGATCAAACCAGTAAAACAGTTTATTTTGGTGATCTGCAGCGGAGATGAAAGTCAACTTCAAATTTTCAAACTGTTGGACATCTAAAGTGTTACCAGAGTGAGAGTTAGCCGAGTTAGCTGAGAGAGTTAGCTATCATTGTGGGACTGAAAATCCAGAGTGTCTATAAGCCCAAGATTAGTAAACTCAGTTTTTACTAACACCGGGATTATACTTTCTACATCCTTGAATTTCATTAGACGGCAAGTGTGAGTGTCCACATCAATGTTTTTTGTGACTGTGCAGACTGCTCCGAGAATTTACATTACAAATATACATTCACTCTAGACCGGGGGCTTCAAAAAAGCATAACAAGTATGACTACTCAGCTATCAGGTTTCCAGCAGGCTTTGTCTGCAAATAAGTATAATGGAGGCCCAAATCTGCCTTTTGGACCATGCCCACTTTATTAAGAAGAGAAAAAAAGGGGACAAACTGAACAGCAGTTTGGGAAAATGCCACAGCCCTACTCCTGAGACATGCTGAACTGACAAGGGTACCTCTGATCTGTTGTCCAGACGTTATTTTAATTCTGTGACTTTAAGACAGCTGTCCAGTCCTGCTGCAAATCTCTAATAGTGTGCATGAATATTCTGCTTTACAGGTGCTAGATGTGCATGAATCCACTGGATTATTGCAACACCTGTAACTAGCACTGAAATTCAAGCCTGAGCAAAACCTTGATGCGTCCCTCTTCATATTTTGGGACTTCAAATAATGTGATTATTAGAGCAGATGAGCACTGACACTAAAATTTTATAAAATATACTGTTTTTTAATACATAAGCTCCACTGACCTACAGACCTGTACAGGTTCCTTGCAACAGTGGAGGAACCCTCACAGAACACCAACAGAGCTCAACACTTTCAGCATGAACAGTCATTTAGTCACCCACCTTGGCACAGTGCAGGTCCTTATGTTTCTTCAGCAGTTTATCTGCCTGCTGTATCGCCATTTTGTTATTGCCATTGTCAAGGTAATCTGGGAAGCACAAGAACAACATCGCTTTTATTTAATATTTATTTGGGGGATTGACAAAGTAATTCAGAAACTATTTTGGTTTTGGATTCATTTTTTTCCTGTTTTCTAAGCAAAAACATCAGAGTGGGCCCGGCTTATCAGGGTTCGTGTTGCAGAGCAGGATAGTATTTTCAAAGGTTTGGAACGCTGTTTAAACAAAATTTGAAATTTTACCATATTAATCTGGGCTACAGATGCTTTCACGTCTAACTGACCTGTAAAAATGATCCACAGATAATGAAAATAACTGCCAGTAAATCTTTCACTATAATTAAATACAGCTTATCTTAGTGAATGGTTAAAGTATGCGGCTTCAGACATAGATAAGAGATACCTCAGTACAGCTGAGTGCCAAAATTAACCGTTCCAGACAGCAGTGTGATTATGTCATGTCTATTCTCTCGGTTTAAACTGTCATCACAGGAGGGAAAAGTTGCCAAATCCTACAGAAACCAGGGGAAACCTGAGGTGTACTTAAGACCCGGTATTGATCAAGTTTCAGCTCTAAGTTGCAGTGAAACTGTAATAACTGCATTACAGTTTAAGCTTCACTCCCAAAGTAACACGGGGGGGGCAAAAATCCCCCGCGCGCACACGCACGCAGACATGTATACACACATAAAACAACGCGTATTTTCGGTTTGTAGACTTGAAATACTGTTTTATTTTCCATCAGTGCAAAACTAGCAGTAAAAGAAATTAAAACAGCTTCAACTGGTGTGAACTGTTTTAATTTCCCCTCACGGAACAACACCAAATAGTCCATTATTTACGTTATTCATCAGCACTGTTACTGAAAGGTCCGCGAGCTGACAGCTAGCTAGCTAGCAAGCATTACATCTCAACCGCTAGAGTTAGCTTGAAGCATTGTCCTTAAACTACTATGAACCTAAATTTAGCTGGGAGTTAACAGTGGAACCTTCAGTCTGCTACAAAACAACTAAAGCGTCACAGTGGCATTAATCGCAAAGGAAATGTATGTCAGACAGAGGAAGCCAACTTGCATCAACGAACAACTTTTCTTTTTCTCAACCTGCAGCATGTGCAGGAGCTTATTGATTGACTGCAGCTTAGCTGACACACTAGCAAGCTAAGCTACGCTGTTAAATAGCGCCCATTAGCTAGAGGAGAAAGCACTTCGACTTTGAGAACGAGTCAAGCCGAACGACAAATAATGTCCACACGTTTCATTGCAACAACACCACCGAGAATCTCTATAGATTTAAAAGGGACAGGCTGTTTCATTCAGAGACCCGACACTGGAGATGTGTTCTACCCCGGCTTGGTTGAAAACCGGGTAAGGTGCACTGTCATTGGGCGCTGCGGGCAGCAGAGTCCGTGGCTGCAGCTGGAGGGGCCGCATTCCTGCCCCACGACTCCAGCAGCCTCTAGTTTAAACATATTCCCCAGGACAGGCCACAGCTGTGTTTACCGAACCTCCACACACAAAGAAATGTGTAACTTTTCATTGAAAACTTACCGTATATAGGTCTGAGCCTCCTGTCGTTTGGATCTTGCACATGGCCTCTCGCCGCCATGGTGTAGTTTACCTGCTGAGTAGATGTTCACGCATGCGTATTCGAAGCGACCTCAGGAAAGACTAAAGGATTTTATTTCTCGCTGAAAACGCAAAAGTATTGTACATTATTGTCAGGATGAAACCTGTCTCAAGTTTTGACTTTAAACCTATAATAATACAATATGCAAAACAGACAGCTTGCTAACGATTAAAAATTTATTTCATAACCAAAGAAAGTAGTTTTAGAATAGTTCGTGTATTTGTGGCAGATTAAATGTTTCGCTATCCAGATAGATAAAAAAGAATTGTAAATATTGTTTAGCTGTGTTTATCACCTAATAAGTAAAAAAACAACAACAACAGTTAGGCTGTGACTCAAAACAAAGCTAATTCGGGGCCACAAATTGTAGTAAGACTGGCTATTTTACTAATAATTCAGATTTAGTCAAAGCCCGGCTTTTAAGATTTTAGATCATAATTACAAGTTAAAAACTGAAACGTATTCAATCAAAGCTCAAAGTTAACAGATACAAAGCATAAAAGCAAAGCCAGCCTTTTTTACTATAGTTTTTGTAAGATTACAGGATGACCCTTGTCATTTTATATATTTTAAATTATTTAAAATATATAAAATATAAGCTGAATACTCAAGAACAGAGTAAAATAAAACCATATTCTTATTTCAGCCGCTAGGGGTCGCCCCCATAGATCATCTGTCTCTTTTTTTCCCTTTTTTTTTCTTTTTTTAAATTGAAATAAATTTTCATATACAAAACAAGTCAAGGAAACAGACCAGAATTGTAACAATTTGCATTATAAAGATGGTGAAGCAAGTCATAACTTTACAGGGAGAAAATAAAAGTTTCTAGGGTAAAGTAATAAGGAACATAGACCTTTTGACACAGGCAGGAAAATTAGAATAGCAAGTATTTTGTGATTTTACAGTATAGTACAGCAGTTTTTTATTCATATTTGAAATAAGCTTAAGTGACTTAAAATATTGACAAAAGTAATCCAAAAAGACGGTAAACATAGGAGAGGCATTCTTCCACTTTCATAAATGAATGAAAAACTTACATAGCACTATTACAAAATTGACAACATCTGAGATTTCAGAATCCAGATTGTCTAAGAACATCCTTAGATGTGAAGGAAGGTATATTGGAAATGGAGTGAAACCCAACAGTGTATTTCAAACCAAAAAGCATTAACATACTGACAAGTGAAAAATAGATGCTCTAGTGTTTCTGGATCGGAAGAACAGAAAGCACAAGAGTCGGCCTCAAAATTAAACCTTTTATACAGGAGTTCTCCAACTGGATAAATGCCGGATATGATTCTGAAGTGTGTTTCTTTCATTTTAGGCGCAAGTGGGTATTTTAGGTAAAAAGAAAATGACTTTTCTTTCAACATGCTATCAAGATCATGTCTGACATTGACATTGTAGTTGCAGAATACTATTTGCTTAAAGGTATTAGAGATTAACTTATTATTAAATTGTTTGTCCTTTATTGAGGTATTACCTATCGTCAGTGAAGGTAAGCACGTTCTTATTAGTGAATACTTTAAAGTATTTACGATAAGATTTAACAACAGTGTGGGTAGTGCTTTACAAACCTTATTATAATTATTAAATGAAATGTCTATTTTATACTTATCAATAAATTCTTCATAAGATAGCAAGTTTCCGTTTTTATCAAGCAGATCAACAACAAAACATACAGCGCTATCATACCAGTCTGATTTAAATAAGGACTTCTTATTGATGACTATAACCCTATTATTCCACAACACAGAATTGTGAGGTGAAAAATTGTGGGTTAAAATTAGTTTCCCAAAATTCAAAGCTTGCTTATAGAAACTAGACAACTTAAGAGGAATCTTAGATATTTCATAATCACATCTGAGCAGAAAATCGAACCCCCCGACCTTATTAAAGAGTTTGGAATATGGTACCACATAGATTGAGGATAGGAAATGATCATCTGTCTCTCTACTACCCTTTCATCACCTTCTGTCATACCAAACTTCCGCATTTCCTTCTTCACTACGTCATCTATGAATCTTCTCTGTTGTCTTCCTCTTTCCCTCCTTGGCAGCTTCATCTTTTTTGTTTGTATATTTAGTTTTTTCTTGTTTTTCCACCAAGCAGTCACATACTGTAACATTCGGGCATCAATTTAACACAATAACATAAACTCATCCCAAAAGGTTGATTCTGATCATCCGGACATAGCGTTTTCAGTGGGAGAAACGTTTCGTCACTCATCCTACTGACTTCTTCAGTCTCCGCTGACTGCAGTTTTCCCCAACCTTATAAACAGTACATTTGCACAATAACTGAACCTAGCCGCATAAAAGAACAACGGACTGTCAGGTCAGTTCCTTGATCATTAATATGCAGATTGTCATGACCATTGATCAACCACCACTGATCAATGGCCATGAGTACCATTCACAGAGAGTTGGGGAATGGCTGCACTGTAAGATGGTGAAAGATGTACCCTTAGTCCCCTACTCGATTTGGAGATGGTCTTTCCCTTTTCACGTAAATGGCCTCCCTGAATCCCTGCTCAAACCAGTGTTCCTCCCTGTCCAGGATGTGTACATCCTCATCATTGAAAGTGTCCACTGGCCTGTAGGTGTAAATAGACTGCGGAGTCCTGGCCTGGCAAGTTAGCTCTTCTTCTCTTCTCTTGTTTGGTTTGGTATGAATTATGGCAATCCTCCTGGCACTTAAGAGCGTACACTACATTACTATGTTTGTGTCGGAGGACCCAATCCTTAGGGTGGACCAATTTTTGGCGCATCGTGTTTTGGGGTTTAAAAGCCACGGAGATGTGGTGTTTAGAAAAAATGTGTCTCAACTGTTCCAATACTCCTACCACATACAGGATCACTAAGGGTTTTCACTTAGGCAGCAGCTGTCATTCTCTCCTGGATAAGCTGGAGCTAGGTGTCTTCCTAGCTTTGACCAATGGCCATTTGGGATAACCACATTTACTCAGGGCCTTCTTGACGTGATGTTCTTCTGCTTCCCTGGCTGCAGTGTCTGTGGGGATGGTTTTCGCTGTATGTTATAGCATCATAGCATCCTGATGACACCCAGCTTTGTGTTCCAGTGGATGGATGAGAGTCAAACCTTAAATATGCGTAGGTTTACGGTACACATCAGCTTTTAAATGTCCCCCATTGCTGATGGAAATCTCACAGTCTAAGACGACTAACCTGCCACTTTTCATATCCTCCCTGGTGAATCTGATGTGTTGGTCGACTGAGTTAACTCTTTAGTGTTCCAGTCAACCATTTGGTAGAGCACATTTTCAGGCCCTGTATATAACTGAGGCTGTAGGAGCCATATGAGTTGTTCCTTTTTTGACTAAGTGGGTTGGTTTAAATGGACTCACTGTATTGGTGCACGGGTGTGGGGCGTGTCTCATGGGTGTGGTAGATAATAAACGTGGTTGCACTCACCTGTTCACAGCACCTGATGTTGATGAGCAGAAAGGTAGGGTGAGCATGAGGCAAAACTTTCTGTTGAGCGCAGCTTGAATTATTTTGATGTATTTTAACTGGAACTTGATGTTTTTTGTATATTTGTGCACTAATTGATGCCATAGGCCAAATTGTAAGTTGGCATTGTAATTAGTGCAGTTATTGGTGAGTTGCAGTTATTTGTTTGTGCAATCTGTGCATTTGTTTAATAGTTAATCCCATGTGCTGATTTATATATTGGACAGTTGCATGTGGAATAAAAGGAGCAAATGGTACAGAAGTGTATTTT